GCGGAGTCTTGTACTTAACAACATGGAAGAAAGTTAGGATTTACAGGCACTCTCCCCGAGCCCAAGAACCCACGCCATTCTGACGTGAGGAAGGTGTGGGTACAAAGGCATCCCAAGTACCCACACCTTCCCAAAGCTGAGATTCAGAAGAAAGGCGTGGGTACATATGGGGGGGTACCATATATATATATATATGTGTGTGTGTGTGTGCATCCTTATATATATATATATGTATAGATATGTATACATACTGTTGATGATATAAACCCTGCATTACCTTAAGGACCCTAAACTATGGGAATTATGGTATATTCCTTATTATTATGGGTAATGCAGGATTTATATCATCAACTGTATTTTATATATATATATATACACACATAGATATACATTTGCAAAGGTTGTCTGGGCTTCAGGGTTTCAGGTCAGCGAGCTGCCAAAACATTTGGACGGATGGAGGCAGTCTCAGTTTGAGTCCTCAACAAGAGACAAGAGTATGCCAAATTAGGAAAGCCGGAGTCAGTGGCTACCCTCAGCCCTAGACCCTGGATTGGATATTTAGGCTTCATTCTTGCAGGTACGCGCCGCCTTCAGATGCTCTGGCAGCTCGAAGTGCACGCTTTCCGGCACCGCCGCCACCAGCCTGAAAGCTCCGGCGAGATTTTGAGGCCACGTGAAACGACTTTGCAGGGAGTCGAGGTCAGCACAGATTCACGGCGAAGAACAGCAGCAGAGCCTCTCAACCCCACACGTGCACTAGCCTCCCTTCGAGTCCTCACTGCTTCATTATGCATCTGTGTACATGAATGTGAGTGCATGCACGTGCATGTTTCATGGAGAATACTGATTAGTACGAATGTTACGACGCCCTATCTGACAAAGCTGCTGGGCAGTGCACCGTCATGAGATTGTGCGCGCCCGGAATCGCAGACCTCACCTGAGACTCTTGGCAGCTAGCCGGAGATGAGGCCAAGAACAATTCCAGCAACGGAATCACCCATCAGTCCGAACCGCATCTGATCGGTGTTATTGAACATTCAAACGCTTGCAGCTCAGATGCAACGTGCCGAAGCCCGAAAGAAGGCATGTACCTGACGGCTCCATTAAATCTCTGTGTGTGTGTCTGTCTGCCAGAGAAGAGACTCTACGACTCTACGATGAGCCCCATGATTCGAAGTCTCTGCTATGCGAGAGGGAATAAACCACAGTTCCTGTTACAAGGGGCTGTCCCCACCCTATTACAGGAACCAGCCGGTTTGTATTACGATGTCGGGGCAGGCTTCCGTCACACGGCTGTGTTACGGTCGCCGGCTCCCGTTGCGGCAAATACTCGTAACCTGTATAATCGCTCTTATCACAAATCGGAGAGAGGCCGCGACCTAGCCAGAGTGTCCAAAGGCTTGTCGACGCCCCATCTGACGGCTCCTTTCCTTGGCTTCCCTAGGGGTTTAGGGGTTTGAGGGTGTGGTGTCGCTTCTTAGGATTTGGGGATTTGGACCTGCAGATCAAAATGACTCGATGCCTCCGATATACTGGTGGCATCTGCCCCTGATTGAATTTTACATCAAGCTGTGCGAATCGTTGTTCCTGAAGTAGTCCCTGAGAAGTGTCATCTTTGCCGATGTTGCCTGCGAAGAAGACTTGGTAGGCTGACACACAGTTGCAGTCTCGATCTGGGTCACTTTTTTGTCTTGCGCTATTCGCGCAGAGCACACCCTGAGAGTCCCGGGCAGATCCATTCCAGGAATGACCTCAGCTGCCGGCATGAACTACTCACCCAAACCAAGTTGCTTCATACACCACAGCAATACCGAAACCTGGTGTCATCAAAAACGCAACACTGTTCTGCTCGGCCACCGCGTCGATCTTCGACAAGCAGTCCCCGGCAGAGTCGACCCGCAGGCTGTCCCGTCCGCACCTGCCGGTTCAGTTAAGGCCAGTGTCCTCAATCCTCTTCTGGCTCTGGGATGCTCAGGAAGGAGTCGGGAACTCTGAGCGAGTGATGCTGGCGCTTACTCGGATTGGGAGTCGGAAGCCACTCACTGCACGCTAGTTGCCAATACCAACACTTCACAAAAACGAAGCCATCACGAAACCTTCCTACTTCCATTCTGCAGATAACGGTCATGCCACTCCCATCTCCAGCCCAAAGGCTACTATGGAAGTCCTCACCCAGCACCCAGGCAGCGACACCACCTGGAGGTTGCGCACTTCCAGCATCCCCGGATGCTTCAAAGATGTCCGACTCGTCCCAGATGGTTGAGTCCTGCCTCAGGCAAGCTGTCATGGGGGCTCACAAATTTCCTTCGGGTTTCTCGTTTCGAGAAATACGGAGGAGCGCAGCCGGAGGTGCATCACAGGCAGAGCAGAACAGAGGCATTGTAGTGGTTTGTTTTGGATCTGGCCGAACTAGGTCGGGTTCGTGCAAGCGGAAATGAAATCACACAAGCAAGGTCAAGGCCGTTGGCGATGAAGGCTGCCTCCTCCGACATACTTTAGTTTTGAGCAGTTCTGTGTTTTGAAAAACGAAGGAAGCTGTGCTGGTCTCGCTGATCAAGCATCCCAAACACCTGAAAAAGAGTCCCAGGGAAAAACCCTCCATCCGAACAAGCACTAGTCTCATGAGGCGGCCACCGAATCAAAGCTGTCACCGGGAGCGTCACGCGCAGCTCCTCAAGGCACCCGAGGGCCAGGTGCTGTGGCTCGTCAACTTCGTGAGACATGTCGCCAACAAGCGTTGAATTTTCGCAAGACAGGTGTGTCAGAAAGCTTGTGTAACCCTGCAACAGGTCGCAGCGGCAAGACATCCCCCAACCGCCTTCAGCGGTAGAGGAAGCTTCTGACGTGCAAGAAGGCGGTGAAGTGAAGCATGCAAGTTCAAGGCAATTCACCATGCAAGCTGAAGCCGTGAGCGTCGCAATGGATTGTTACATCTACGGTATACTATACCATAATATACCATAATATACTATAATATAGCTCTAACATACGATAGTATACTAAACCAGCCCCTTGTGCAGACGAGCATCCGGTTGAAGGTAAGGTGAGAAACTCTGCTCGGCCTCGGCCCCGTCTGCCTCGTCGTCTTCGCGTCCCAGGCAAGTTGGCTTCAACTCAGCCTCGCACACGGGTTTAGGGGTTTAGGGCCTTTTAGGGGCTTAGGTTTTCTTTGTTTGGCGGGCCTTTGTCTGCAGTACTGGTCCACAGGGGTTTAGGGTTTAGGGCTCTCCAAGAACTGCGGGCTTAAATGCATTCTGTCACGCCTGGCCTGCTGCACGGGCAGGGAAGTTAGATCAAGCAGCGATGGCCACCAATACCTCGCCATGATGTCAGCTGCCATCGAAAGGATGTCCCCACACCGACGCCCAGGGTTGAAAATGCAACGAACAAAGGACAAAAGGCACCACCACCACTGAGGCCCCGGTTGACTTCGCATCTGTTCTAGCATGTGTCTGGGCACAAGGACTTTAACAATGCATCAAGCCTGTCCGGGAAGGAACATCTACATGCTCTCGCTTTATCATAAAGGGGATTCCGAAAATAGCGGACCCTAATATAGCACCACAAAAAGTAGGATCCTTGTTATAAGGACCCCAACTTAAGGTACCCCTTATTTTCGGAAAGTCCCATAAGGTGGCAAGGATCCAGTAAAGCGCCACGAGGGAGCCGCTGCTTCCGGCGAAGATGGCAGCCCTGGGCCGTAGCATTATCAGATAATGTAATATAATATAATATAATATAACATAATATAGTATAATATAACATAATATAAAATAGTATGATATAAATATAATATAACATAATACAAAATAGTATGATATAATATGATATAACATAATATAAAATAGTATGATATAATATAATATGCCCCACAAAATACCACGAATGTAAGGGACCTCAACTAAAGTCTTGTAAAGCTATCTTTCCCAGTATTGCTCGGGTGTGCACAGCTCTAAGGCCTTGATGCAGGCACGCCTGCAACAACCTGACTGGGAAGTGGGAGTCGGGGGGCAGCAACTGGCCAAGTTGTGTCATCTAATCCGAAATCTAGACATCCCCGTCGGAGTCCCTCAACTCCTGTGGCCTCCATGCCGACTCAGTTCAGTTCGGGATTGCGCGTTATCCCTCTTCCCCAGGTCTGCGCGCGTAGGAATGAGGCTCCGGCACCATGGACTCTTCCCGATCCAAGAGGATCAGGGTCATCACCTCACAAGCGGTGACCCACTCCCACTGTCACAAACCTCGAACGTTCCGGGCTGAAGTGCCTGGTTGCTATGTAGGAGTCCATCTGGTGCCCCTTTCTGCCGGCAGCCTGTTCTCATGATGCCTGCTGGTGCTGTACCGAGGCAGGCGTTGTTCCGAGTTGTTGCTGTTGCTGCCAAGAGAACCCGTCTGGAGATTTCTCTTGTAAACTTGAATGTGCAGTATCTCGTAAGCTTTATGCCCGTCAGCTTGGCAGCATCGTGGCCTGGGAACAGACTTTATATCAGCGTTTCACGGCCTGTTCATGCCCCTCTGCACACATCTGCATTTGAAAAAACAGCACCACCCCGGGAGACTGGCACTGCTGCCATGAGCTGCAAAATTCAAAACTCCCACACATGACTGCCCCGCGGTCACCCGTGCTGGAGATGCCTGAGGTTTTTCCTATACTATACCCGCCAAACTTGAGACCCCAACACTTTCACCCTGTCATGCCCTAAACCCTAAGTCCCTGAACCCTAAACGCTTTTCTGCCGAAGGGACGAGGATGTAGATGACCAGCCCCATCTGCGTGTGCTGCATCTGGGCCCTCCAAAGCTGCCCTCCGGAGTCGGACTTCTTTGTCTCCACGAAGACCTCCAACTACTTACAACCCTTTCATGCAGATTCAGCGGAAGCATCCATGGTAGTAAAGTCTGTCAAAGTCTGGTTTCATAATCAAGGTGGAATGCCACCATTGAAAGCCTGCTGATCGATTTCACTCGGTTGTGGACCTGCTGGGCTGTGCTGCAGTATGTGGCACAGTCTGGGTTCTCCCAACCAATTCAAAGTAAACCCTCCCAGCCAACTCTGAAAAGCTTCGCAGACGCTTGAGCCCTTCGTTTCGCAAGTGTTCATGGAATCATGGAAGCTAGGACTCAGAGGCTTGTAGGATGCCATGTTGCTTCCCTGAGAACCGAGCTACGCCAGCTGCGCTAGATGCGGCGACAGCTTGGGGGCTCAGGGCGGGTTTAAACCTCGGTTCAGCTCTCGCAACAGAAGGCCTGAAGCGCTGACAGGGCACAATCAGGTATCCGAAGACGAGTCGGCGGAAGGCAAAGCCAATCGCCAGAATCACAGGAATGAATGGCTGCAAGCCTCAAGCTGAGAGCTCAGTGCTCATTATTCCACAAGCACGGTTGCAAGAGTGACGACTGCGGACAAGACATGCGAGGTTTGAGAACATTGCAATCGCAATGCAAAAGCTTGGCTGCAGAAGCACCGAACCTGCAAGGCAACAATTCACAAGCTCAACCCTCGCCACTAACCAGTCACGAAGATTGCCTGCAGCAAGATCCATCGTGTTGAAGGGCTTTGAGCGGAGCTTGGCCAAGTGGCTGCATAAGGTCAGACCAAGCACCATGTGCAGCGACCAGCGTGCACTCCGGGCGCCGACGCCGTGAAACGTTTGGTCCTTGAAACTTTCTGGAGCAAGGCATGCATGCGGCAGTGTGTCCGTGTGAAAGCCGCAGAGGGCTATTTCGGTTCGTGCGGGAAGAAGAATAGACTGCCGTAGCGGCAATAAGCTAGGAACTGTTAAAGTTATAGTAGGCATGCAGGAATGGCAGGCCGGACTGCATTGTTCGAGTCATGCTTTCGGTGATGAATCTTACTCCAGTCTGTGGACTGCGACATCAAGGGCTTGGAAAGTAGCACAAAGGATTGCAAAGTTTTGGACCCCTCTTATCAACTGTTTTTGTGTGTGTGTGTGTGCGTTTGTATCTTTGCATGTAAATATTTCAGACCGAGCTCGCCTGTTCGCCGCGCATGTCTTGCACAACAGGTTGAACATCTACACATCACAGACTCCACTCAAGCCTGGGCCTAAACCCCAAGCAAACCCCTAAGCCGCAGCCCTTAAACCCTAAACTAAGCCCTGAGAGAGCAGGTCCTCTGGCTCGGAAAGCTCTTTGGCAATTTCCGGAGGCCTCAGACCACGACAGCCTCCTCAATGTCGTCCCGAACTATAATCATGAGGTTACTGTTACCGTCACAACAGCAGCAGCAGCAGCAGCAGCAGCAGCAGCAGCAGCAGGAGCAGCAGCAGCAGCAGCAGCAGCAGCAGCTCCTCCTCCTCCTGTTGCCGCCGCCGCTGCTGCTGCCACCTACTCCTACCACTACTACTTCTAATCCCTTCCCCTGATTAATAAATCCCCCCCTAATGTTAAAACTGCCGCCCCCCGGAATTTTGCGGTTTCGGGCCCACAATTGAAAGTTAATTAAAAACATTAGGGGGGGCCTAGTTTTAATAGAGCCAAGACTACAGTAGTACTAAACCGAAAGGACCAGGGCTTTAGGG